GATACAGTTTAAATCTCCTCTTCTATAAATGGTCAATTCGATGTTTATTACATCTGGATTTATAATTTAAAGTATAATCAGTTCCTTGAATGCGTAGTGTAAATCGTCTCTGAATGGATTCCAGTCTTAATTTATCCTTTATGCAAACACTACTAACAATAAACTAGTAGTATTCTAGAAGTAATCAAACACAGTTTTTACATTGAAATACGTGATTCATTGTAATAGAGATTGTTAATTATGCAACCCGGAAGACGTTAAGACTTGGACGTCTGTTTAGATACCTGTTCTGATATGCAAAAGTCATAGGAGTACCTAAGTCCTCTCCTGTATGAAATTTTGATAACACCTTACAAATTATGGTTAGGTCTACGTTGAGTAAAGGGTTACCAAAACAGACTCATCCACATTTGGCAGTGTTAAGCCCTAACGTCCATTTCTTATGTTTTTTCAGCTCATGAGGGGAGAATGAATACCCTACTTTAAGATCACCTGTATACAGAAGAGACTTACCTTCACATATGCAGTCTCAAATATCATTTATGTCAACTAAAGAGAGCAAGGAACCTAAGATACTACCTTGTGTTACCCCACTTTTGACCGGGACGGCATCCGATAAGGAAGAGTTTATTCTGAATACTTGGTGTTAGTGACTGAGGAAAGAAATAAGTCAACTAAGCAGAGGGTTTCTGATCCCGTAAAATGTTAGTTTGCCTATAAGAAATCGGTGGTTAACCTTGTCGGAAACTTTAGAAAAGGTTAAAATTCGAAACTAAGACAAGGTGTCCTCGTTTATGTTGAGTAAAGACTAAATTGAACACATCAAACTAAGTGGCATGCCATACGAGATCGATTTTTAAGAAAAGCCATGTTGGGAATCAGTGATACGTTTGTCATTCAATAAATAGTTGAAAAGTTCTCCACCAACAATTTTTTTCATCATCCTAGCGATAACTGGAGTTATTTTTCATGAGTCGATAATTGTTCACGTCAGTTTGATCTTCTGAAGCATAGCGTTGCATGATGTATGCGGCTTTCTGATAGTAAGTAATAATATCCATGGAGAGAGAGAGAGAGAGTAGACAGCTTCAGAAGAAGTAGTAGTTGATCAAAATTCACTATATTTGAAGAGAACGGATGAAATTCCATCTACTCCAAGACTGTTTGAGATCTTAAGGGAATTAATAGTCTTACTACTTTCTTTCTACTTTGAATTATTATGTTCTTTCATATAAACTTTTCTATTCTGTTTTATTTTGTATACGTAATTCTAAATGTTTAGTCTATTTTATTGTCATTGCTATCACGTCATTACATTACATTACATTTTGTGATAGTTCTTGTTAATTTCATTTTCGCTATGTTAATATACTATAGCAGTTAATCTGTTTTAATCACTACATCAATGACAACTGATTATTTATAATAAACTCCTAAACAAATCACTTTATTACTAAGTATTCACCTGGAAAGGATAACGACATGAATATCGATAATAATTTCTACGCATAACTTTTCCATATAGTTCTCTTAAAAACTACATCTCATTAGTTCTTTTCAAAAAATTTCCTCATCAAATAGTCAATTAAAAAGAAGTAATGAATAATTTGCTTATGAAACTATTCATGTCCTTGCTATTATTGTTACTCGACATAATTTGTAATAATTTTTAACCTTGAGTAGTTTGTTTCAATAAAGTCTATATATGGATTTTCAAAAATATAAGAATAAGAATAATTTGAAATAATTGTAAACAATAAAAATATCCGGTTATTATTATTATTATTTGTTTTCATTTAATGACCTTATTATTAATACGTGCCAGTGCTTTGAAGCAATGTTTATGAACATTCAATGTTAGGTCGGGGATTTATTAATTTTTTTTACTGAAAGTCAGTCAATACATTCCATTTTTTTTTCATTTTGCACTCATTTTATATGCATCCAAAATAATAAACATTTAAATTTTATCAATATTTATTTTAGTGTAATTATTATTTTGATGATTATGTTTTCAACTAGATCAACACACTAATAAAAAATATAGAGAAAAAAAAAAGTTGGTTGACTTATATTTTTATTGAATAGTTAAATTTGACTAATAATTAGCTGAAGTTGTTAGTTAGTTAGTTAGTTAGTAAGATAAATTAATTTCACAAGAATTTATTAAACTTTATTAAATGGTTTCAGTTTGTATGTGTAGAGCGAAAGTGTCATAGCCCCACATTATTTGTTGGGTGTAAAATACCAATATGGGATAGAAAGAGTGTAGATATACTACCCATCTATTGATTTTTATTAGCGATATTGTTAACTAACGATGAGTAGCCATATAGCTTACACATCTTTGGGTGGTACCTCGAAACTACGTTAACTTTATTGACCAGGCCCACCTATATCTCAGTGTATGCTTTAGTACAATCATATTATATAAATGGTACAATTATGTTATGTAAAGATGCTGACAGTATGTCATCTTAATAAGTCCAAGAACTACAATATGATACTTTTCACTGTACATTTATCACTCTGAATACAAAATAATCATTCGAGACTGGATGAAGTAATTCGCAGTTCTAAATAATTTACATCCTTTTGTCAATCTTATCAGTTCTAATCAGTTAACAGTTGATCATATCACTTTGGGTTTTCCACTATACAATTTCCTTATCAAAAGACAAGTATGGTTCATTCATAGCTGTGAAACATGGCATATAGAATTTACAAGACATACATGGGTTTTGCTAAGATTAGATTACAGATGATGATTTGTAAAATTCTAAAATTGAACGTCGGTTCTCTTTCTCGAGCACAACACAAACTAAAATATATATGTTTACGTCCAGAATTCACATCATTATCATCATGTTAAATGTTGAACCTTAATACATGCCCATTGGTTGATGTTGGTATACCATCTTAAGACAGAGAGATAAAATTATTTCAAGACAAATCGCAAAGTAGTAAAGGTAGTTAATCAGTCAGCTACAATGTAGAACTTTGTACGTGCATACATTAGTTCAATTTGCCATACTAGTATCAATACTAGTAAACAAGATTAGATTTCAAAAGAAAAAAACCAGGTGTAACGAGATTTCAGCACTCAGATTCTGGAAGAAGACAAGGAGTGAATGCATCTCCACCATTACGAACGACCCTGAAATCATATCATCTAGTCACGTAGTCCCCAATCAGGTAGTCTTCACTCAATAACATAACTCAGTCTAGTTGTTGATCACTTCATAGGCTGGTCCCATGTCTTGTCTTTCTTGCTCTTAGTTTTCTTCAAAACTACTCCTACACCAGACAACATCGCCTGTCAAAGTAGACGGTTGTTGGGCGTATGTTACACGCCATCGATCATTTTAGATGGTGAAAATCCACTACCGATTTATCATCTTTACTTAGAGCCCTGTCTCTAACCACGCCGTTCCCTACTCGTAGGTCTCACAATGACCGATCAATGCTTCGAAGACACCTGTGATCGGATACTAGCAACTAACAAATATCCTTAATTCCTAATGATCGTACAGAATTCGAAAAAATTTTTTTACTTATTAGCAAATTAGTGTTTGCCTGTCCGATATTCATACACAAGCTATTACACAATAATACTAATTATCCAATCAATCAAAAATACCTAGAACATTAGTAATGGTGGACGGGAAGTCGTGACTAGCGGCGATCGGACATCTACGATTATACAGCCGTCACCAATAGCATTAAATGTTCGTCGTACGTAAATTGAGAACTGACTGAGATTAAGAATGCATACTGTTGGTCAGTAACCGCGTTGTTTTTGCGTTTGTCAAAATACCTAGAGGTCATAGGTTCAACCCTTTGAGAAACTATGAATGCCAATTGTTTTGTATTCTTATACAAGGACAAAATGGCTATTATTTCTTGGTTTCCAATGATACCCCAACTTAGTTTGATCCGTGACAAATATCAACTACGAATCTAAATAATCTCCACATGACCTCTACATCTAGGTAACCATTCTTAGTATATTATTTTCAAGTGTATTTCACTTCTGAATGTCATTCATGACCCGAATAGCTTATCAATAACATCTTAACCTGTGAAGTTAGGTGATATGGGTTCAAATCCATAAGGGACACATCAATCTCCTTACGAATACCAACTAGCACATAATTTAGATGTCTCATCCGCTGTTAGACTGACTACCTTCAACCAGCTAATTAATAGTAGAACTATGGTAATTTGTTTTCCCGCTACATTTTTTTCTCATTTTATGTTAATCAAATAAATGAAATTATTTAATAAAATTTCATTTAAAAAATAAACAAATCAGTCATTTCAGTTTTCTTTTCGATAAACGATTTTCAATGCAAATTGATTCAATCAAATACTGAATTCACTTGTGTAATATAATTGACTTTAATAGAAAAACACCATATTGTCATTACTTTAATTTGCATTACGGGGTTGTGAAGATTGTTAAGTTACACATTTTTGAAACCATGAATAGATCAATCTTAGACCACCATTAGAAACCTGGAAGCACTGGACGGCCGTTTCGTCCTGGTATGGGACTCCTCAGCAGTACGCATCCACGACTCCTGTACCCCGCAGGATTCGAACCCGGGATCTTCGGTATTGTAGGCGAACGCCTAACCATCGGACCACTGAGCCGGTATCTAACGGTGTTCATGTATAACTTGATCAATTCACGGAGTTGCGCAACCTCATACACAGTCTTCACCCAAACAAGTTGAACTTCACTGGTCACGTCTTCCCACTAGAACTTGGAGAAGATCCCTCACGAAGCTAGTCGCTAGTGAGCACAGGTAATTTGCATTACGGGGTTGTGATGACTGTTAAGTTACACATTTTTGAAACCATGAATCGATCATTGTTAGACCACCATAATTGTTGTTTTTTACTGTATTGTTTTAATACAATAATTTTACTCACCGTTCCTTTTTTTCCCCTTTTGTTTTTCTTTTCTTATTTAAAACAATGAAAACTCAATGTAGTTGTTGTACATCTATGCGCAATAATTAAACAACCCGATGATCCAAAGAAAATTTTTCAATCTGTTTTAAATTGTTTATTTACGCCGTATGCTGATAAGGATGATGGTGAGTTTTGTTGTTGATGGTGATGGCGTTTTTTCTCCTGTTAAATAAGTTTTCACTTTTTTTAAGACAGCTTTTTTTTTATTTTTACAATGAATCGTAGAGAAAGTCTTCGATACAGATGATATGTTTTTTTTTGGTAATCTAAATGATTTAAATTGTTAGTTGAAACAATTTTTGCTTTAAAACATTCTAATCATTTACAATTATTTGTCACATATTATTTTTATATTAAAAAATAATAAAACATTATGCACAAATGGATAGAAATGAGTTCATCCTCCGATTGAAGAAAAACTAAATTTAAAATTGAATTCAAATTAAATTTAAATCGTGCGCAAAATATCTTTGTATGAAATTCAATGAATTTTGATTAATAATCATATGAATAATAAAAATTGAATTGCATATAAATTTGATAAAACTTTATAAGTTAATGTGTACTTTTTTCTATTAATCTTATGACAAACAGCATCTTACGTGACAAATACTAAACAGATAAAATTGTATTACCCTCCAATCGCCTAGTATTATCGAGTTGTTGAATCGTTTTTTTTTTTGTTTGCTTATGGCTTTAAAATAATCTCAGAATGTTTATTAAAGAATTCAATAATGAATAACTCCGAAATAATTTGTTAGCATTGTAATAAGATTCATAATGGATACAGGTCATTCAAATATAATATGAAATAGGCTTTAAGTAATAAGTGAACAAAATAATGACAGATTTATTTGTTACACTAGAACCAATAGTTATTCATCATGTCAACGTTAATCCATTCGGCATTGGTCTTACTTAATTACTTACTTACTCCTGTTACCCCCAATGATGCCGATCAGTATTCTCCAAAAAACTTTGTCCTGGGCTTCCCTTTCCAGTTCTGTCCAATTTTTATTCATTCTTCTCATATCTTTCTCTATTCCTTGACGTAATGTGCTCCTTGGCCTTCATCTTTTCCTCTATCCTTGAGGGTTCCAAGTGAGAACTTGTCTGGTGATGCAGTTGGGTGCTTTCCACAATGTACGTCCTATCCAGTTCTAGCGTTTCTTCCTGATTTCCTTTTCCTCCTATGGAATCTGGTTTGTTCTCTTTCACAGTAGGTTGTTGCTGATTGTTTCTGGCCAACGGATCCGAAGTATTTTCCGTAGACAACATATAATGACTACTTGAATCTTCTGGATGATGGCTTTCGTAGTTCTCCAAGTTTCCGCTCCATACAGTAGAATTGTCTTGACATTTGTATTGAAAATTCTGATTTTGGTGTTTGTTGACAGTTGTTTTGAGTTCCAGATGTTGTTCAGTTGTAGAAATGCTGTCCTTGTTTTGCCGGTCCGTGCCTTTACATTTTTACCGGATCCACCTTGATTTATAATGATGCTGCCAGATACGTAAAGGTTCTTACATCCTCCAAGGTATCTCCATCAAGAGTGATCAAGTTAGTGCATATCGTGTTGTATCGGAGAATCTTGCTTTTCCCTTTACGTATGTTGAGACCTGCTGCTACACTGATCGTCAGTCAGTCAACAACAACATAGAACTTCGTACGTACGTACATCAGTTCAAGTTGCCATACATCATTAACACAGAGACACAATAGTGAATTCAAGTCCCATATTATTAGAGGTAGTATAAGTAATGGCAGTAAAAGGAAATTTTGGGGTTCGACTATATTATTCAAGAAGTAGAATCTGGTGAAATAAACTGAAACGGAAAAGATAAAGGTGATGAGGAATTCAGAAGGTTACGATTTGAGAGAACAACAAGAATGAATGTACCTGCGCCAATGAAAACGGTTTTGATCCATGTCGTCCAATATTTCTTACCATCGATTACTATGATATCGCAGGCCCCAACCAGGTTTTCGACACTTTCCAACATGACTCAGTCCACTTGTCAGTGACTTCATGGATTTCTACCATGTTTTGGTCTGGCCGTCTTTAGCTTTCATCCAACCTATTCCTACACCGCAAAACGTAGCTCGACGAGGCAGTTGGTGGTTAGGCATACGTAACACATGTCCCAACCACCTCAACTCATGAAATTTCAATACTTCATCTATTGCCCTGCCATCTGTATCTAGTACTCGTTTCCTAACAACATCATTGCTTACTCGGTTGTCCCACGATACACGAGCAGTGCTTCGGAGAAACCTATGATCGGACACTGGTCGTCTTCTCTATTATTTGTTGTCGGGTGTGCGATAAGAGAGCCAGGTCGTCCATCTGCATCCTGGCTGTCCATTGTATACCGTGCCTCACTCCGGATGTTGATGTCTTCATAATCCGGTCTATCACCAGGAGAAAGAGTGAGAGTAAGCAACCTTGCCTGATACCGGTCTTCACCTCAAATGAATTTGTCAGCTGTTCTCCATTCGGTCTGGTGATCGATAATACTGACCAAATGATATGATTCATTAGATGCTAACCACTTCTCTACAAACTATATGGGCTATATTTTGTTTCAATAACATCAATATATCCAGTTACATAATATTGCTTTTTCTAATCGTCTTGACATGCTCTAACATAACTCTGTATGTATTCGCAGTTGTCTTTACAATGTCATCGATGCTGTTGATTTTTTGAACAATAATGAAATTTGACTATATACGTTGCTTACTTTATTTAATGTGTACTATTGAATGACATTTAATGTATTAGCAAATAGTCTGAAGATACACTTCATAATTATCAACTGAATAATACATATTTCATGTGATATTATGAAGTCTTCTATGTACTCACTCACCCAGCTTTATTTTTAACTGCACTACTACATGTCACAAAGTACGTATATTTTTTTCCTATTCTCTTTCATACCATCAAATAAACACTTTAATGTCTCATACAGAATTATCTTGACTAAAAAACAACATGACATTGACATGTTCAGACCTATTATGATTTTAACTGTATCAAAATAATATTCTGTTTTGTTTCCCATTTATGATTTAAATCTGTGTTAACTTATTTCAGTTATTTATTCATTTAATCTGAAGAAGTAACTTACGTTAAGTCACCAGAAATACAAATTTCTATTCATTGGGATATTATCAAAATTATTATTATTATTATTATTATTATTATTATTAACTTCACTTCAGTTTATACTTGTTAATTTAGTAATATGCAGTCAATTACATTAATCTGCTATTTCAACTGATCATATACGCAGTAACCTTCGATGGTTTTCTTGTTAAGTATGTTTTTTTCATTGTGTTATAAATAGGTCATCTGTTCATCATGATAAACTCTTGAATGACCTACTAGGTATCATTCTATCTTGAGAAAAACATCGATTTTTTCCGAATCATATATGCTACTCTAATTGCACATTTCTTTTCTGATTTATTAATATCAATGAATCTATTGATGAAGCATTGAAGATGTATGGTTTAATTAGTTCATTAGTTGTTTCGACTTGAACACAATGGATTAACTGAATTGATTTTTAGTGAATGGAATTAAAGTGTAAGGAGAACGTTGTTCAATGTTGAAGATAGCCTTAGGGAAGGAATCTCAACCACTTCGGGCTAAGAAACTAGAATTAGAATTTTCATCAGTTATAATGTAACAATCCTGTATAGTCATTTGATAGATGAATTTTGCTTAACAATCCTAGAAGTCATATCCCGATTGACTTGTTTCTGTGTTTTATAGTTTTACCACAAATCTATTAGATTGTATTTTGATTAGTTAAGTTTTTTGTATCAGTTTATGTTGACACACATAATCTTCATCAGCTGGTTAATCATCTTCAAAATATATTCAATTATTCAAATATTCGAAGATTATAATAGAATT